CCTTTTTGCACATTTAGAAATCTTACCATTTGTCCATGCATTGAATACTGCTACCATATCTAGTCTGGTGCTTTTACTATATATCTCAAGATTTTTGCCAAAATTCAAAGAAGGGTCTGTAATTTAATCAATCCTGACCTGGCATTTTGACCAATCATTTTTCCACTAAAATAACATGGCTTCCCTTAGTCTTTCTCCAAATATTTCCATGGTATCTGTTCTGATGAATTGTTCTCTTTAGTGCCTCGACTACATGAATTTAAGTGTGCTGCTAAATTGGCAACTAGGTCTCACTGTTTTACTGTTGAACTAGCTAGATGCAACCGTATATTATATTCTAATAGTTTCTTTTCTTGCACTTCTCACCTGTGGAACTCCTTTCCAATTTCTTGCTTCATTGCTATCTTCTGTCTTCCTGAATCCTCTTCCTTTATTGTCCTTTTCCTGACTTCTCACTAAAGTCTTCTTGTTATTTTAAACTAAAAAAAATTCACAAAAGTTTTCATTAGATATACTTATCCAAAAGATTCTTTTCTCCTAGTAAGTGTATGTATATCTTTGAAAGAATTTTTTTTTTATTAATCATTTCACCCCAATCAAGGCAATAGTGCCACTAGGATTCATTATTGCCTTGATTGGGGTGAAATGATTAATAAAAAAATATTCTTTCAAAGATACACATACAATTTCATGGCACAAAGGAATCTTTTGGATAAGTATATCTAATGAAAACTTTTGTGAATTTTTTTTAGTTTAAAATTAAAAGCATTAAAATTAAATGCTAGTACTTTTTCCAAAAAGACTTATAGTGCTAAGTTAATAAATATATTTTTAATTCATACTTTCATATTTTTTATTTTCACATATCACTATCATTATGATAAAATATTAGATTTTTAAACACTTTGTTTTATTTCTTCCATACAGACTAGTATCTCAATATTTATTATTTTGGTTGATGCACTCTTCAGCCTTCAAAATATTTATTTATTCATTTAATCCTTTCACCTTAAGCAAAGCAATAACATTATTAAGATGCAAGGCATTACAGACAGTGAAAGAAACAGAGGACACAGTAAAAGAACAAAAGATGACAACTGACAATGCATTTAAATTTTTGAAGATCGTAGTTGACAGGGAATCAGGAAGCTGGTAGAGAGTTCCACAAGTGAGAAGTGAGAAAGAAGAAACAATTAGCATAGGACTTATGGCTATAAATATCAATTTCAACAATGAAATTTTGAGACTATTTAATAAATAACATTTTAAGATCACAATAAAATTTTCTACCCACCAACCACAGATTATTTAAATTGAATAATTTTAAATCCTAGAATTTTGGAGGCAAGTAGCTGGTGAGGTGAATACAAAAATATAGAAACCTGGAAACTGGTATAAAAATAATGGATAACTTAATAACAAAATATTCAATAATCTAACAAAGATTAATCAACTATTTTTCATACTTATTACATAATTTTCTTTTTAAATTCTTTTGCATTAGTATTAAAATCACTAACATTTTTACAACTTATTTTTAATAAGTAGGGTTGATTATAAGAGGTATTTACTTCTATAAATATAGTCCTGGGTATGGTGATAAACTAACTCTGGCAGTAAGACCTCTGATCAGGAGATGAGAAGTTATGAGGAGCATGGAACCACCTCTGAAATGCTATTGTTCCCAGGTCCACCATGAACTGGGGTGGTAGCACTTGTTAGGATCCCAGCTATGGGCAAATGGTGAACACCCCAACCCCTGCAAGCAAAAATACATATTCATATTAAATTGACCAAAAATATGTATTTGTAATAAATTGACCAACAATACATTTTATCTGTAATTGAAGGCATACAATTGCGTTCAGATATTTAGATTTTGGCATTGGATCCATGGAGATTCATGTGCAATTGAACAAAATCAACCAAACAATCAACATGAAAGATCTCTTTCATGACATTATTCCATATAATATCCTACAATTTCTTAAAGAAATCAAACTGTATTCCAAAATATAAGAAAACTACAACATAAAACACACATCACTGTCTCCAGTAATTATGTCCACATAAACATGTATATGTACAAAAGCAGAGTATTATCTACCATGTACTCAACTGTGAAAGCAGAATAGCATATATCCTTTTTATTACTCCCAAGAAAATTCAGTTTTGGTATTATGTGACCCATAAGGAGTTGATATGCTATTAAACAATCAAAAAAAACTTCAATAAATATCTATTGTATTATTGATCATTTATAAATAAAATGATTTTCTTGAAATAATAGTTTCTGCCTTTCTCTTCGCATTTTCATTAGAATATAGATTTGTGACATTTTAATCTTTTATCTTGAAATTAACTCAATATTTTATTCATTTTGTTATGTCTATTGGCGTAAATATTCTTTCAAATAAAAAAAGGACAGAAATTTTGCTGCAATCTTTTCCATTCTAAAATGTCCTTTACATAAACGGGCATTTTTATGAATAAATTCTACAGTTAATGAATCTCTACTAAATTTCCTTATTTCTTCATAATTATTTTTCCGTGATCTTTAAAAAAACCCAGTAATGTTGTCTTTTTCATTTTATCTGTCTGCTTCTTTCAAATTGTCTTGTCTTTTGGTTGACTCTGATGTTTCTCTTATCATATCAGACATGCACTCTACAAAATTTCTCTTTACATACATACTTTTTTATTTTTATCACTGACTGTTGTAAGTCTATAGTCCTTTCTCTCCCTCTCTTGATTTGCATGTTAGCACATAGGTAAATATCCTTAAATTTTAATTTCTGTTTTCCTTGAAACATAGCTTTAGAATTTGTTCATTCAAATTGGTTTATTCATCTTATTTTCTGTAAATCTTCAATAAAAAGACATTTGAATTTTCAGATGTTTTTTCTTCTTTACTTTCCCTAATTAAAAGCCATTTAAATTGACATGAAAATAATTTCATACCAAAACTGTGGATAAACTCAATACACTGGCCTTAATTGCAGCTTTTGATTTTATCATTGAATTTAAGCTTTTGTTATATTTTGTGATTTAGTTACTGTTGACCTTTCTACAAATTTCTTAAGCTTTGTTACATTAAGCCAAGATTGATCACAGATTATTGCAAGCATCTTCAGGATGTCTTAATGTCACTGCATTGAATCTGCTTTGCCAAAGAAACTTCTACATCTATGTTGTGTGTGTGCTATTTCTTTTATATTATTATTATTATTATTATTGTTAACCTTTAAGAGAAGAGCATAATTTAAGGAAAAGAAAAGACACAGTGGTTGACAATGTTCAACTATATTTCAACAGTATGCCTGTCTTGAAGTTATATTTTGATAATTTTTCAAATATATAAATTTATAAAAAATTATGAGTCTTTGTACAAATGTTGCTCGTCTTGTAATGAAAAAAATAGCTGTACTGGTAAAGAACGTGTCAAAACAAATGAAACACCACCAACATAAAGGTATATAACAGAAACATGCTTAATATGATGGCAATGTTGTTCATCTTGAAATTTTCCATGAGTTTATTAGCCACTAAGAGGAATTCATCAAAAAGCTTAGTATAAATCTTTTGGAACTCTCCTGTTATTCTGTGCATTCCCCTGAGGCAGGAAGTTAGTAGTTTGCATATGTAACTATCCTCATGCGTTTTAAGGGTTGAAAGGTTGGTAGATTCTGAATATTTTTTCTGAATGTACATGTTTTAAGATGTTTGTCAAAATTACAGTCATTTGTAATAAAATGTTCTGCAAGCTCCATTGATGTCACATTGTTGATATACTGTTGAAATATTGTTGAACATTGTCAAACACTGTCTTTTCTTTTCTTAAATTGCAATCTTCCCTTAAGTATTGAAAAATATTGGAAGAGTTATGTCAATCATTTTATTTACTATTATTCTTATTACTATTAAATATTAAATTGCTAATATTCTCAAAGTTTGCTATCAAAATGCATATTTGTAAAATAGTTTATAAATATTCAAAGATTTCTAGAAACTTTAAAGTATGTTTTTTATTAATTCCTTTGACTTAATATTCCCGTCTTTCATGTTTTCAATTGTCTTGAAGAAATGTAATCAAAAGTAAATTCCTATAAAGCTGATATTTTGTGAATTATTATTTCAAGATTTTTTTTTTTTAATTATTGAGCTGTTGTCTTACCAAATGCAGACATACAAATGTCAATCAATAAACTAACAGCTTGACACAGTTTGATCTGAAAGTTTCAGTGTATAATGTATAATTGGTGGAAAATCATTGTTTTAAGTGCATTGATGAAGGAAGAGAAAATAAGTATTTGTCCTGTAGAACAGTCATGGGCAAACTGGATTGTGTGACTACATGCAGCCTAATTGGCTTTCTGAATGGTGCACTTAATTTCATGAGGAAAATAACATTTATTAAAATGTTTTTTTTCATTCTCACTTGTTCACTCACTCACTCACTCACTCCCATGCATAACTACATACATAATAATGATTAAGTACAATGTTATTTGAATTTTGTAACATTTTGTTGAAGGTAACATTGTCAACATTTTAAACAAGTGACAATTTTCACTAAGGAAGATCATACATGTAAAAATCTTCTGGAAATGTCAATTATTCTTCTTTTACAAATATTTTTGTCTAATGAATAAATTAGAAACAAATCACATGAAGCAGCAATGTATGTTAATCACACTGTCATCAATGATAATATTATACCAAGATTTTAATTTTTTTTAATTATAGAAGGAATCTTTTTCTCAAAAAAAAACAAAACAAAAAATCAGTTTTTCCCCATTTCTAAGACAGATGCTTTTCTTGGGAAAATGGCTGAGGTAGCTTTAATAAAAAAAAATAGCTTAATTCTTTTAGTAATGTGACCTGACCTATACCTCATGTGGCCCACTGTTCAAAAAAGGTTGTAAAATAAATAATTCTTTTTTTTATAAGACTTAATTGATTTACCTATGTCTGTCTATAGATGCTATTTTAGGCTTACTGCCACATCATGTTGAAACACTAGTTCTCATACGATCAATGAAATTAAGCAACATTGAACCTGGTCAGTACCTAGATGGGTGACTGTTTGGGAATACCAGGTGCTGTAAAGTTAGATGTGCATGTGGTGTAATGGATAATGGCTCAGAATTGTTAATTGGAGAGCCGAGTTCCAATTCCTGTTGGGTTTGTTATATTCACTTTACTATTATTAATATTATTATTCACAGAAAATTTCTTTACAATCTAAAAATATTTCCTGGCTTTAAATAACCTAAAAAGAGTTGATAATCCGTAGAAAATGAGTGAATTAATCAACAAGCTGTTTTTAATACTTATTTTTCCGATATTATAATTAGTCTTATATCTGAAACTAATCACAGATCAATTAGAAAAAAAACAGAGACGTGAATGATAATTAAAAGGAATCAATAAAAAAAAATGTCATCTCTTCAAAAAATTCAAAATTTTAATGCATGAAACTTTCCTTTTAAAAAAATCAATATTCATTTAAATAAATAAAATTATATGAAAATGAGAAGTAAAGAATATTATTTTTTTTTTTGTAAAACTATTTTCTTTATTACCTCACCAATTGTTTTAAACAGCTTTTACTATCATTGTAACCGATTAGGGTCATGTAACAGTTGCTAAAGACTAGTTCCATATTATGAAGAAATCCAAATAAAAATTCTTCAATTTTGTAACTTCTTTTTTTCTTTTTTCTTTTTTTTTTAATTGTGACTGATCAATTTTCTTCAACTTTCGTTTCTTGTTTTACTATGCACTTTGAAATTTGACAATTGTATAATTCCAATCTCAATAATTCATTGTTCTTCCATCCCAAACCAGATAATTCAAAGAAATGCGACTGGTGTACGACGAATAGGTGCCCATCCTCACCTGCCTCATTGTAAGTCAACAATCTTCTTTTTTGCTAAATAAGCACTATTCTTATGACAAATATATATATATATATATATATATATATATATAGAGAGAGAGAGAGAGAGAGATTGGTTTTGCATTTAATATCATCACTTGATAAGACACCGGAGGTGTTGAAACAAAATGGCTATTTTTGTAGTGATTTTATAACAAGTTTATGTTATAAGTTTTTTTAATAAATATTATATAATATATATATATATATATATATATATATATATATATATATATATTAACTTTCTTTCTTTTTTTGTTGTTGTTTTTTTAATAAAAAAATATTTTAATTAAATTTTTTTTTTAATTAAAAAAGAAACCTAAAGCAAACTTAACAAATCATTATTTTTTTTTTTTAACAAACAGTAGTCACATGCATACAAAAATGTAGCCAACCATTTGAGCTGAACTGATATAGTTCTTCTATGTGCTATATCTCTTCAGCATGTAAGCAATCATGGCTTCCCACAATTTCCAGTCCTTTGTAGCATTTAATAAATTTTTGTCTTTTACTTATCTCTCTTAAACCTTGCCCTAACATCCATTTACTGAAGCTTGCTAGGTAGGTTATGCATTCTTTTCTTCTATCCCACTTGACTTCAATCTGTCTAGTGAGTATCTAATTTTCCAAGCCCTCTTTCCTCGTTATGTGTCTTAGAGACTTCAAACCTCTCTTCCTGATGTTAAGTATAAGTGTTCTTTTTGTTTTCATTTTCTCTAAAACTTTGTTGCTAACATGTTCGGTTAATGGTATTCTCAGCTTCCTTCTCTAGAACCACATTTCTTTTGCTTCAAGTTTCTTCTTCATCTGAGAAGAGATTGTCCTGCATTCACTGTCATATAGAAGGACTGATATTAAATAACAGTTCAGTATTGTCATGATATTTGATCTTGTCAGTAATTAAATCTAGTTGAGTAAAGGTGCATACCTTTTTGGACCATTTTTTCTTCTCATTGAAAATATTTTCTAAAACAACATAATTTATACCTAAGAATATTCTCCTTCTTTATTTTGAGCAAACTCGTTTTTTTTCAATGACTTTTGCTAGTCATGCTGTTTTTCGGTTGCTCTAATATTTACACTGTAAGTACAATTCAGTACTAATAGTTACAACTTCTACTTGCAACCACAGTATTCAGCTAACTAGAATTGGTGTTGATCCATGCCATTGTAGTTAACTCTGTCGTTTATCACCAACCATTCATCACTACATATCAAGCCAATGTATCGATCTGTTGATGCTTGCCTATCTATACAACTGGAGAGCTGCTGTGCACTCCAGGTTTTTTGCCATTGGGATTTACTTCTCTAGGTGAATAAGTTTTTGTCTGACACCTACCTGTTGACTTACCTGTCTAGGTTTAACCTACAAGGGTATAAACTCCCAAAAGCATAGCTGTCTCAGTCATCAGAGAACACAATCCACTTCACCATGTCAAGGTACTTAATCATGAATTGGACAATAACAAACAGGTAGTAATAACTGTAAAAAGATGTTACATCTATTATCAAATTTGGCAGGAGTTGTCATCAAACATACATTATAAAAAAAGAAATGTGTTTAAACAAGCAGAATGACATTACTTTATGGTAATGGTGATATTAAACATTTCCCCATAAAGAAATATTTGACATTCATTGACCAAGCTGCCAATACTTTCAGTTGAAATTTATAAAATCTTTCTCATAAAACAGGTTTCTCAAGTCCAGTAGCTTTTATCGCACTTTCCAGTATTGATGGGGGGTTTCTTTCCTAACCTTTTGTTTGACGTGGTGTGAAATGTCAACATCTTCATTATGACATTATTTTTTCTTCAAGTTACATGTGATATCCATTTTAGTTGTTGCTGCTGTTGGTAGTCATCAAGTGATGTGTTCTCTATTATTTGGTACAATTCTTTGTTTATAATTCTGTCACACAATGTTCAAAGAAGGATGATCTTTGCCAAGACCCTCATGTTTTACTAGCTCAAAGCTTTCACCATTGATCTTAGGAAGTGGTTGTTTACAGCTAACAGTTTAGATGTTTCTGAGCGGGTTTGGTGCGATGCATGGCATCCATATAAAAGTTTCAATCTGACCAGGCTATTTAAGAACATAACTTGCAGTTTCAGGTTGATTTTTTGGTTTCATAGCAATTTGCAGTATTGGGTAAAACTACATCTAGCACAGATTATTCTATATTCAATTTCTTTTTCTTCTATACTTAATTTGTTATAGCTGATTCATACATTGGCATATCTGATGTGTTTCATATTTACTAATTCCACATCTAGTATTTTTGATTGATTCAGGGTCAGTGCCATTATTGCTTTCATCCCAATTCCAGATTTTACTTTTGGTCTTTGCCAACTGAATTCTTCATTTATATATTCTAGCAAATGTCAAATATTGGAAATATTTTCTAAGACAACATAATTTACACTCAAAATTTTATTATCATTATTCTTCAAGCAAACTAAAATACCGTTAACTAAATTCTTCCATTGTTCTGATGGGAATTTCAAGTCATGCTGTTTTTTTACTGACTTTCACACATTGTAAGTACAATTCTGTACTAGCAGTCAAAATCTCTTACTGTATGGTGTCAACATCTTATTATTATTATTTATTTCAAGCAAACTAAAAAAACCATTAACTGAAGAAACATGGCCCACAGAAGCATGTCTTCCTTTGTTCCGATAGGATTTACGGGTCATGCTGTTTTTCACTTACTTTCATGCTTACATACTTACTGTCCAAGAATTCTTGTTCATTACAACATCCTATAAAGTTGACAGTTATTCCAACTTGCCTGAGAGCTACATAACATTGAAACACCAGTTCCTGTACAATCACCAAAGTTAAGCAACTTCGAGTCTATTCAGTACTGAGATGGTGACTACTTTGGAATATCAGGTGCTGTAAGCTTAGATATGTGGGTTGTGTAATGAATAATGGCTCAGAATTGGAAATTGTAAAGCTGTGTAGACAGCAAAGAAATTTTAATGCTTTGATAAATCATACAGCTGAATAAAGAAGAAATCATATCTTTAAAAATGCTGATGAGAACTATAAAACATTGAGAAAGACATTTTTCTATTCATTTTATACTGATTTTAAAGATTATTTAAAGTTATCCTTTATTTTTTATTCATCTATTTTTTACTTTTTTTTTTTTTTTCTTTCAGATTTGACTGGTAGTGCTGATGGCAGTGTTCGAATGTGGGAGTGGGGACACCATCAGCCTCTATCTTTACTGCGTCAACCAGGATGTTTTTCAAAAGTCACAAAGGCGTTGTTCAATGCTCAAGGCAACAAGGTAAGTCATGCACTCAGGATTGGTGTCTACACCTGGTAATTGCCTAGAGTTCTAAAATCTTTACAAAAGAGCAATTTAGTGCTTATCAACAAGTATTTTACATTCATCTGAATAATCTATTGTAATTTTTTACAATTACGTTATCAAAACTTATCTTGTGGAAGAAGGGCTGGCCTTGGATTCTAAATACCTTGGTTCCAGCCCTTAGTTCAATATCTCTTATTCTTAAAGATGAATTCTATTAACCAGTTCTATAAAACATTAACCTATGAACTCAAGTCATGTTCTTAAATATCCTCATCAGATCTAGACTCTCATGTGGATGTCATGCATGGCATCCAATGCATTCAGAAATGTCTAAACCATCAGCTATACACAATCAATGATGAAAAATGGCTTCAAACAAATGAACCCTGTGGGTCTTGAAGAGGACTGTTCTTCATTAGATCTCATAGACTGCTGCTACAGAATCACAAAGTGGTAATCTTAGCTGAGCTGTGTGTTTAATTAATTTTTTTAAATTTTATACCTATATTTTTATTAAAATTTATACCCAGAATGTAATTTATTTCAAAGTAAAATAAAAATCTTTGATATGTGAAGAGAACTAGTCAGGTGCTCAGCTGAGCTGTGGTTTGACTTGGAAAGAGATAGGTTCCATCAGGATACACTCTGCATGAATGAATACCCCTTCAGCATTCATTCCAGATATGTGGAGAGAACAAGGCCGGTGCACAGCTGAATGACAGCCTTACGACCACAACTGATCATGGACTGTTGATGATATTTTGTATCAGAAAGACCAGTATTAGTTGCAATCATACACATTGTCTACTCTTAAGATTATTTTACTTGAGAAATTTCTTTTACTTTTTTATATAAAGATTAAAATGCCTTTTTAAATAAATAGTCTGCCTACAAACTGTTCTGTCATGAAACCTTATTGGATTTATAAAATGCTTTATTGGTTAATAATTGGTCTTTCTTCAACTCTTTGGATGTTTTCCTTTGTAGTGTTGCGTAAGTGACGCAGAAGGATCTGTTTGTCTTTGGCAAGTTGGAATTGGGAGTAACTTCAGTAAAGCAATCATGGTAAGTTTCAAAACTATTTTTTTTATTTAACAATTCTTAGTTTGTTCTACTTACATGAAATCCACTAAACATTCTTATATTAGTCAAGTTCATTTTATTTTTTGAAAATGTTGGAAGAACACAACTGGTTCTAATTAAACACTTAAGAATGAATGACATTTAGAGCATGAGAATTCTTAACTCATTCCTTCAATACCATTTAGATTGGGTATTCTTAAACATCAACGCATCCAACTAATGACTTCCTCAACCAAGAATGAGAGGAGATCATTAAGTTAAATGAAGGTGTATTTAATTATCTGCTTTTGACTGAGCTAAAACTTATACAAAAGGTTTTAGTTATAAGAAAAATGACATAATCTCTGTTAAAAATACTGAAATGTCCTCAACAGATTGCTAGGTCACAAAATATGATTTAACCCATCACTACAAATAATTGCCTTCTAACTGCCTTGCAAATAATTTATCTGGATAAATGCCTTGCAAATAATTTATCTGGATAAATGCCTTGCAAATAATTTATCTGGATAAATGCCTTGCAAATAATTTATCTGGATAAATGAATCCCCTCCTATCTCTTTCTGTGTTACACTGTTTTTTGTCCCTCTCTCTCTCTCTCTCTCTATGTTCCTCTCCTGTTTATTCTCTACATCCCTCTCTCTTTTTATTTGCTTCTCAACCAAGCATATTAATATATAAAATGTGTCACATGACAGTCTGGTGAAATGTAATTTACCTGCCTATTTGGTACCAATTTCTCAAAACAATTGCATATCTCTTCTGAATATCCATTTTTTTTTTTTTTGCTCTTTATGATTGAAATCACATTGCTGACACAATGTAAGCCAAGTCAACTCACGAGTAAAACCTCACTTCACTTTTCTATATCTCCTAACATGTATTCAGTTTGCTGCTTGAAAAAAACTATTGTTTAATTCTAGTTCCAGTAAATATGTAGCTAAAATGTTTTCTCTGAAATGTTGTACACACATCTTTGTTTTTATTCCTCCAATTTACATAGTTTTTACTATATTGCGAATTATAGTAAAGCTATGGTAAAATGCACATTATCTCAACCAGTCAATGAAATAAGAGTAAAAAGAGATTGGTTCTGCTTATATTTTTTTTCCTATCCTGACTGATTCTATAACATTACTGAGCTGATTACAAAGATAACTTGTTACAATGGGATAAGTTTAATGTTTAGAGTTTAAATATCTGACTCTATTCTAATTGTTATTCATTCATTATTGACCAGAACCAATATTACTTACCTTTGATGATTTAATAACATGTGCAAAAAATGATGAAGTACAATATAATAGATAAAAAGGACTAATCTACACAAATCTGTTAACACAAAATTACATTTCAAGACAAATTTATTTTAATCAGGATATTTTTAATTACTTTCTACACTACTATAAACAAAAGGTTAAGAAAAAAACTATCATCAATACTAGATTGGGCAATAACCGTTAATGGATTTGAGAAACCTGTTTTTGTGAAAAACTCTTTTACAAGAAAGATTTTTATAAATTTCAATCAGCATTAACACTGTTTAGTCAATGAATGCCAAATGTTTCCTGTATCAAAATGACTAATCATACAATTACCATTTACAACTTATATTTTCTGCTTATCCTTGTTTATTAGTCTTTACTTGTCTGTTTTCTTGACACCAAGTTAATATTAAGAGGTTTGTGTTTGATTCTCTGTTGCAAAAAAAGAGAGGAACATAATACGACAAAAAAAGAGGGATATAAAGACACAGAGAATGGAGTGTGGGCTCATTTTAGATAAAAGCAGTTATATGTAGTGAGAAGTTAAATCATATTTTGTGACCTGATGATTTGTTGAAATATTTTTATGGACTGATGGACCCAGAACATGTTGAGCATCCAAGAGGGAAACATAAAAACAGAGGAGGACATAGAGAGTAAAACAAAGAAAGAGAGAGGGACATAGAGAGACAAAACAGTGTGCAATACAGAGAGAGATTGGAAGGGGTATGTCATCCTAGGTAAAGGCATTGGTTTCTAGTGAGAGATTAAATCATGTTTTGTGACCTTACAATCTTTTGAGGACATTTCAGTATTTTTAAGAGAGATTATGTCATTTTTCTTATAACTATCTGGAAACATTCATGGGTTGAAAAGTACAGAATACAGTATTAAAAAAATTTATTAGTAAATCCATGTAATTTACATGGGTCCTACTAGTTTTGATAATAATGCCTTATGGATATGTGGCAGACATGAGACAGAACCTGGGATGAGCACAACTGGTTGCGACTTGCCTTGTCCCCGCCAAAAAAGAGTCCGTAGTTGCTTAGCATGTAAAGCTACTGCAGTTGAAATGAGGGAAAAAAAAAAAAGCACTTTACTGCTCTGCCGTAATCCGTCCTCAGCCAGATAACGTAAAAGAATGAGGGGGGACTTGCATTGCATTTTTATGCAATAAAGATGCAATGCATTATGGGACATGGACGCAATGAATTATGGGATCACATGAAGACGCAAGGGATTATGGGTATATGGACAAATATAAAAGCAACTACTTTTTCCCAGTGGAGAGGGTTCTTCGAATGACGTTCATGGTTGGCAGCTAGAAAAGTCTGTTAGTGCGATTTTGAGACAACTCAAGAAGGAACGACTCGAGGTTGGAATACCAGTTGGGAGAGCTTGAATTTACTCACTGGTTGCTGTTTTCTTTTTATTCGCCACAGGGTATCACATGTAACTCAAAGAGAAAATAATAACATTATCAAAACATTCGTTCCACACTACTCCAAACAAAAGGTTAGGAAGAAAAGCCCCCATCAATACTGGAAAGAGCAATAACAGCTACTGAGCTTGAGAAATCTATTCTCCTGAAAAATTGTTTTAATAGAAAGATTTTTATAAATTTCAACCAAGAGCAGCACTGACTACTTAATCAATGGATACCGAATGTTTCCTTATAAATAAATAGCTAATATTATTGAATCCAGATAAAAATGTCACTGGAAAAGGTTAACTATTGAATTCTACTTTTTTTTTAAGGTTAATATGTCAACTGTTCTCAGTAAAAGAATATGCAAAACTGATAATAAATTAATGAGTTTTGCTTAAGAATTCTAAAATATAACAAAGACATAAAATCTTTGTATAATTGGGGCAACATCAAGCTGAAAGGATTAAGGTAAGTCAGCTGAGGTCCCTGTATAATTTTTTGAGCAGGTGTTTGGTGTGAGGTCACATTGAAATGACTTGTCTACATACAGTATATAACCTTGTTCTTTATAATATGTCAGTATTGTTGAAGACAGTGGGATTTATTTTTATTTGTTACTAATTTTAAGTCAAAAATAATTGTGACTTTTTCCTAGCCAAAATTGTGACTTTTCTTCCAGCCACAATATTGCCATTACCATTGCATAGATTACATGTTTACCTCTGAAAGTAATTTCATGCTTATTTTACAGAGCCTACAATGTCATAACAAGACGACGAGTGACTTTGCATTTGTAGGGT